ATTGGACTATCATGTTCTGGTATTGATCCACAGAAGAGAGGAACACAAACAGCGAATGTGTGTGAGCGCCACAGATTGATCAGAGCTGTAATGTGTGACTCTGGAAACACACAGCGGGGGGGCACGCTCTTAATAACACCTGATGGAGACGCTGTGATGTGTGTGAGGCTTCACTGGGCTTCAACACACACATGCACACACTATTCATGTTCAGAAGGGAATAAACATATCATGCTTGTGACGGGGTTCAATTGTCCGTATGAAAAACACTGGCCTAGTCGGTTGGCTTGAGCTTCCAGAACTTTAATTACAGCAGCAACAACAACAAAAATAGCGAACCAGCACAACTTAGAACAAAATCAAAAACCAGGCCGTCCATCACTCATCAGAGTAAACGTGTTCTGGTGTTGCCTTCTCTGCAACTCTCTCCTGAACACGTCCCAGCTGTTGCCTATATTGTAACATTCTTCAGAGCTTCACAGTCCTCCAAAAACACAAGGATCTCATACACCCTTTCAGCCCAACAAGAAAACAGCACTTTAAATACCCAGACTAACATGACACAGGTGAGGGGGGAGCAATTAGACACAGGTGAGGGGGGAGGAGACAAGCAGGGCCCCAGGTGACACAATCGACTCACCACATTTCTACATAAAAAATCCGACTCAAACATAAACAGGTTAACCACCTCATAATCATTTCACAAAATTAACAAACGCACAATAAATAATAAATGTCATGGTTCATAGCAGGAAATGTTTGGTGTGTGTGTGTGGTGTGTGTGTCGGCTGTCAGTGGCGGAGTCAGTCACTCTTTGACTCGCTCCGTCACAATGCTCTACGTTGTATTTCAACGTTTCCATCTCCTTTATGCTCAATGCACATTGTTCACTGTTTACCTGATCACAGACATCTGCTGTTAGGCTGCTACATGGATCTCATAGACACCTGTTTTTGGTTTATCATTGGAGTTTCATTAGCATTTCCAGTATTGTAAGCACTTTTTTTTTCATGAATTGTATTTACTTTAAATTAAATGTGTAGAACCCTTCATAACCTTCACCTGGTAGTTGGCTATTCTGCTAATAATGGCTTAAGTATATACGTATAGTCTCTAAATCAGGGGTTCTCTAAAGAAGAGAAGGGGGACTCAAAACATCCGTCCAGGGACTACAGATCCAAAATAGCCTCTTACTAACTCAGTAAGACTATATATCATAAATATATATAAATAGTGATATGTAGATATAAAAATGTTCCACTTACTAGTCAGTTCTCCTTATATCTTATATAGCCCAGGAATATATGAAATACAAATTGATTTAATCCGTTCAGTATAGTGCACCCTTTGTCTATATTTGAAATGTTAATTTGTTGGAGGGAAACATGAAATGTGCACCCATTCTGTTAAGTGACAAAGATGAATATTTTTTTAATGCAATATTAATTGGCTTCCTCTCAAGAGCTTCAAATGAAACTTTCATTAAAAAAAAACACAAGACAAAATACAGCAGCCAAGTGTTTTATTGTCAGCTGAAGATTTCATTGCATTTATAATAATATTACCGATTTATAGTGCTTGTATTCTTTCTAAATATCACAATATCAGAGCCTGTGTGAGAGTGTAATGAGTGTGTCATTGTGCTTTCTGTTTCTCCCACTGTTCCGGTGTGAGAGTTTTCTGTTCAAAAGCGTGGATCTCTTTCAGCTCCTCAGCCAGGCACGTGTTCACCAGCCTGAGGAAACACACACAGGTTGAGAGTCTGGACAAAGGGACGCTGGACATCTTGGGTGGTAGAGCGCTGAATGGTTAGGAGGTACTCTTTCTAACACAACACAAATAAGTGGATTATAATAAGATAATAATTACGATTCTGTAAAAGTTGCAAAACTGCACCATTTTTAAAGCCACTCAAATATGGAAATGCTTTCTCTGTTTTACATCACATGTAATGAATATTGACGGGCAATGGACCGTCAGAAAAATACATTGAAGCCATCACCTTGAACTTTCAGAAATTTGGATGAACATTTTTTACAAATTTCTGGCATTTTATAAAAAACTATTCATCTAGGAAATAGATGAATTGATAATTATAAATAATCAATAGTTGCAGCTATAATTGTTCAATTTAATTTCTAAATAAATTAAGGTTACGTTTCTTGTGAAAAAAAAGTAGTCAACTTGTCATATTATGAGATGATCTAACAAGGATTCACATAAATCTTACAACCACTATACTATGTGTTAAGATGCAAATTATTGGATCTACCGTGGTATAGTGTTAAAGATACATATAGAAATGATATTAGTTGAGAAATTGTGCATTAAAAAAGGGAACAAGCTTAACACATTTGTTTTGATAAAACAGGCAATTTGACTGTATTGTATATACGTAAAAAAGATACTCAAAAGAGAATGTCTTGATCAAGCTGATTATAAAAACAAAAAATAAATTAAAAAAGCTTTTTGTCACAGAATTAAACATGTGTATAATTATATTGATTACTATCACATTTCTGATGTGAAATATGTTATTCCCTGACACATGTATAGCTTTCTACTAATAGAAAGCCCAGCATGTCTGTCCCCTTCAGCTCAGGGTACAGAGGTTCTACCTCTGTGGCAGCATACTGTATGTGTCAATCATTATGTCCATCAGCTCTTTCAGTTGTTATACACCTCTATGAGTCACCTGGTACGACAGCACCTACATGTTTGATTGTCAGTCAAGTTTCTCTCTTTGCAAATCAACATCTTTAATCCTGTCCGGACTTTAGTACTGCCTGCACCTACCTGGGACATCTTTTGAACTGAAATGATACCAAAGATCTGAGCATGGTGTGACAGTGACTACAGTGTGTAATACCTGTGTCTCTGGAGCAGTGGTTTCCCCTCAAACTGGGAGGAGACTACCAGGACTTTGTAGCTGGCAGCACATCTGTTGGGGGACGTATCCTCCACATCCTGCAGTGGACCAGACAAAGTTACAGCCAACATTTAACTACTGAATTACTGCAGTGATGATGATGATGATGATGATGATGATGATGATGATGATGATGATGGGCTCTATACTATAGCTGGGCAGTTATGTCTAAACTAGCAAGATAGATGGATAGAAAGACAGCCAACATTTAACTACTGAATTACTGCAGTGATGATGATGATGATGATGATGATGATGATGATGATGATGATGGGCTCTATCCTGCAACCTGGCTCAGTTATATACTATAGCTGGGCAGTTATGTCTAAACTAGCAAGATAGATGGATAGATAGATGGATAGAAAGACAGCCAACATTTAACTACTGAATTACTGCAGTGATGATGATGATGATGATGATGATGATGATGATGATGATGATGATGATGATGATGATGATGATGATGATGGGCTCTATCCTGCAACCTGGCTCAGTTATATACTATAGCTGGGCAGTTATGTCTAAACTAGCAAGATAGATGGATAGATAGATGGATAGAAAGATAGATGATAGATGGATAGATACTATAGATATATAGATAGATAGATAGATGGATAGATAGATACTATAGATATATAGATATATATATAGATAGATGGATAGATAGATAGATAGATGGATAGATACTATAGATATATAGATAGATAGATAGATGGAGAGATATAGATAGATAGATAGATAGATAGATAGATAGATAGATAGATGGATGGATGGATGGATAGATAGATGGATAGATAGATAGATGGATAGATAGATAGATACAGTAGATGGATGGATGGATAGATAGATGGATGATGATAGATAGATGGATAGATGGATAGATAGATAGATGGATAGATGGATGGATAGATAGATGGATAGATGGATAGATGGATAGATGGATGGATAGATGGATAGATAGATGGACAGATAGATGGATGGATATTACACATTAGTTAAACATTTGAAAAGATAAGTGAAGATACAAATATAATACAAAAATAACTTTATAAGCAAATGTATACATATTCACATAATACACAATACAGAAAATACTGAATAATACACTTTTGTTTGAATACAACAGTCCATTTCACTAAGCACCAGAAGCATATAGAAATATACTACAAGGAACAGAGACATTTATTAATATATACTTTACAATTTTGCAAAGTAGGCCTGCTAAGCACCACCTAAACTCTATTCAATTGGTGCTCTCTATTTGTTGTTTATAACATATAGTTAGTGATGTACAACAGCATGGCATTCACTTCAAAGACAAGCAGACTCACTGAAATAGTACTTGTGAAATGAAAGGAATCAGGCTTAAATAAAAATCCCAGTTCTCTTTTTCTAACAAACCAAAATGGCTAAATACCTGCACTATGGAATATAGTAGTGAGAAGCTATTGCTGTAAATAATGACATTTTTCACTTGTGTACCTTTGCATACAGGCAACATAATGTTACATCTGAATAATGCTTACATTGAGTTTGTTTCTGCTGACAACAGAAGACTGGGCTAACGTGTAATACAAAAATAATAAGTAGAAACATACCACGTGTACTGCTGCGAGCTCCTTGGTCAGTTTATCCCGGATGTGATCAGCTGTAATAGCCATGTCTGTATAAATAAAAGGTACATTGTAACGTTAGTATAGTACAGCCGCTGCAGTGTGGCTAAATCAATGTGTATAGATCTCTCTGAGTGTAGACAGAGGCATGGACATGTTGATACCGGAAGTGTTAAGGTATCCTTCAGTTTAGCATTTCGACCGTCCAACAAAACACTATTACATCACAATTGTGAACTGATTTTTTTATTTAGAAGCGTATCATTACCAAAGGCCTTGAGTTATACAGTGTTTTAGCTAAATTCAGTCACAGGGTAAATATCCATGGGGTGAACGACGTGTGAGTGTCTGTACTGAAGAATATATACTAATAGCCAATCAGATGCAATATGTTTCCATTATGGGCGGGACATATATTTTAAAGTAGCGAATCCATGAGCGTAACACAATTGTAGGTGTCTTTACAGAAAGACAAACTAAACGTTAAGCGAGATTAATATAAACAGAAATCTATGCTATACATTGATTACACTGTAAATGAAACAGTATTTGTTGGTCGCACATTATTATATTAGCTTTGTATTTGTCTTGCAGAAGGCTCACATGAGTCCTTTAAGGCATAGTTTATCAGGCAGTTCAGTAGGCAGCTAAGACGGGCAATGTTTACAAGCTAAGGTCCACTACTCTCATTTGTTGAAAGGTATGCTATGGGTATCCATCGAAACTATGCATGAACATTTTAAAGCATCTGAATTCAAGCTATTCAGATAATTATGCAGTGCAAATTGAAGTATTATCACAACATAATTGTCTAAAGTGTTTACAATTGGTTATTTTTTGACTTTTTGTTCATGGCTCTACTAGCTAAAATGTACACAAGTCAGATAATGTTATGCTGCTAGCTCATTCCATGGGTCCAAAACAATATCAGCGAACGTGGCTGCTTACACTGTTCCAAGATGGTTGTAGAGGTAGAAAACTTATTTGGTGTGTACATGCTGTACTGCACCAACCCTAAATTCAAAGGGCGTATTTACATTGGCTTCACTGTGAACCCTGAGCGCAGAATAGGACAGCACAACGCCGGACGGCACCGAGGTGGGGCGAAGAGGACCAGTGGGAGGGGACCGTGGTGAGAGTTACACTGCTATACTACATCATGTTCCCTGTAGGATTACACGATTATCGATCTGTGGAATGTAACGTCTTATTATTATTATTATTATTATTATTATTATTATTATTATTATTATATATTCATGTAATGTAATTTTGGGGTGCTTGAGTATTTCCATGTTCTGCTACTTTATACTTCTACTTTCAGAGCTAAATGTTGTACTTTTACTGCACTACATATATTTAACACTTGTAGTTAACATAAATAAATGTTTATATGATATATATATATGCACTAGTAATTTACTCGGTACTTTCCGAAATGTGCTCCATATTGACGAAATACAACATTAAAAAACATTTAATTTTGAATAAAAACACAATAATATAATATTCTATAATAACACAAAAACATTTATAAGAGGCATTCTGCACATTGAGTACTTTTACTTTTGATACTTGAGTACATTTACCTAATAATACTTTTACATACAATACAATTTCACCTGAGGATTTATACTTGTCGTGGAGTATTTTAAGTATGTGGTGTTAAATGAATACCACATTCTTAAAATACATAAGTAGAGGATCTTTTTCCACCACTGTTATTGATGTTCTGCATATGTTCCTTGCTGTGTACAGGGACATGGTCCTTATAATACACGGCTTCCCCTCTGATATTGCTGCCCTTCGGGTAAGTAAAAGTCTGTTTATTGAAGTGACTGAATAAAAAGCCCCTGTCACATCATTTAAAGGGACGATAATAGAGAACAAGCGTCATTGGCTCGTGATGAGGAAGTGAATGTGAGGGCAGAACTTTATTTGCTGATGTTTCATCAAGTTCTAAAGCAGAAATGAATAGCCATCCAACACTCAGCAGACTGACACTGCAGATTTCAGTCTGCTGTGTATCAATGTATCACGTTCTGAAACATCTGATCTCTTCACAGTAGATTTCAGAGAGTTGTTGTTTCCTCAAGTGAAACATTCTTCTCCTCAATCGCTGCCAATTTCTTGTCAGTCTAAGTTGCCCGACCTTCAGACGAGGTGAACACAAACAGGAAGGAAAACAAGGGAATTTCCAAATCCTGGTGTCCTTTGTCTCCCATGTATACTATTCTTTGTTGGATTGTTTTTTTTGGTCTTGAATTCAGTTCACGGTAGTATTTCAAATGACCTGTTTGTAGTTTTCTTTCACCCATGAATAGTTCTAACTCATCATTAAATCCCCTCTGGCTGGCAGAGAGCTCACAGCTGCATAGTTTCTTATGTTGCTTTGATAACTGTACACCTTTACAATTAAACATCACAATTTGTCCATCAGTATATGGTGTATTCACACTGTACATTGATATTTAATTTAATATGAACACTCCATGTTAATAATATCCTACTTCTATATTTTGTGAGAAGTAATTGGCCCTTCATCGCGTATACTTGACTCTTCAGATGTATACCTTCCACCGTTACTATGTATATATTTTACTTTAAAGTTCAGTTTTTATTTTCTATTTTGAGAAGTTTATATTTTATGCTTGTGTCTGTTTATAATGTGCTCCTTTTCATTTTCACATTGCATGCAATGCCTTGTTTACATGCTGCCGTAATGAAAAAATCTTATCTTATCTTTATGTTAACTGTGGCAGTTTGAGTGGGCGTGGCAGCACCCCCACTCCTCCAGGCGGCTCTCCCACGTGCCCCGGCGCTCCAGGAAAGAGTCCAGCCTGCAGTTCCACTGGCGGGTGGTCTCCAGCATGCTACGGGTCCCCCCCTGGAGCAGGCTGCCGCTGACGGCCCGCTGGCTCAGACAGGAGTACAGGATGGACTTTGAGCCCAGCCTGCAGCCCCCCCTCCACGTCCCCATCGCCTTCGGGAGTGTCAGAGCCAAGAAGAAGCTGCAGCCTGCAGGGAAGGATGAGGATGAGGAGCAGGAGACATCCAGCTGTTTCCTCTGTAAAGGACTGGTCAAGGTAAAGACTGTTCAAACAATTAGAATAGCATTTTTTAAATTTGCATTTTTTGAAACACTTATATAATGGTTACAACATTAATACTTATACTACATTGATTGTCACATCTTACCACCTGGTCATTATAAAAGTGACTTACCCTTTTTCGCATCTTTCATCAAAGATATGAACTTGGTTTCTGATTTCATGGTTATATTTTTCCATTCCATTTCATTTACCAGATTCTTCCATTGTGAGCTAATTAAATTGTTATCTTTTAACAAATATTTGAATAATAATTTGTATTCCCTCTAGTGTTTTCCTAAGTTTTAAAGTAGAACATTTTTTAAAACATCCCAAACCTTGATATTGGTTCTGAATCAGAGATAAACAGTGTATCCATCCTCTCAGTATGTCTGGGTGTGGGTTAGCTTAGGATCTGGTTCTGGTCTCTGCACTCACAATTGAAAATGATAATGCAGGGATAGGCAGGGAAGAGTCGGTAGGAGGAGCAGGGCCATTGCAGGTAATGGGTAATGGGTGTTGGCTTATTAGCGTGCTGATAGGCTAACGTTAGCATGGTAATATGAATACAGACAACCTGTATGAAATAAACGGCAAAAACACAAAGATATTACAATACAAAAACAGCACAAATTACTATATCAAAGCTCACTTAATAACATATACAATCGTTCTTCTGGCGTACAGTTGAAAACGTTTACATCAGGGCTATTCAATTGGCGGCCCGCGGGCCAAATCCGGCCCCCGGGTGATATTTACTGGCCCTTTGAGTATAATGTTAAAAAGTAAAAAAAAATTTTTTTAAGTTTAATTAAAAAAAAAATTTCATTTACATTTTTTTTTTTGGGCCAGAGTGCCTTTATTCCTGAGAGGGTGTTACATTGAGAGATAGAGGGGAAGACATTGCCTGAAAACTTTGGCGGGCTCGGGTTTCGAACCCACATACTGGCAACTCCTGTCATTTATTGCGTCTCTGCGCGCGTCCTCGCGGCTCGCGCTGCCCTTCACTACAAGCTCGCGCACCTTCGACGGTTTCGCGCCAATGGTACGATTAATCAAACCTGGTCAGCATAGTCGGATATCAAAATGTCTCTTTCTACGTTAAAAAAACGAAAGGTTGACACCGAAAACCGGCAATTCAACAGCGAGTGGAAAGAGAAGTACTTGTACACACAAGTACTTCTCTTTCCACTCGCTGTTGAATTGCCGGTTTTCGGTGTCAACCTTTCGTTTTTTTAACGTAGAAAGAGACATTTTGATATCCGACTATGCNCTCGCCTAGGGCACCAAAGTGTCTAGGGCCGGCCCTGATCCCGGATATAATCAGCTGATTTGTGTCTGAGGGGAGTCTTGATGCAGAGCCAGACGCGGGGAGGGAGGGACTCGAACTCCCAAAAAGCATCAGTCCGAGTTGTTGCAAAACGTCCGATCTGCAGCCTGGAACTTCGAAAACACGTTTAAAAGTGGAAGTGAGGGTGGATACCAGGACCATGTCCGGTAAATGCACGCTTTCTGTTCTCACATTATTTACTGGCGTTTAGCTAACAAGGAGGAAAGACCGTTATTGTGTTTGTGATGCAATCCAGATGCTTTCTGCTTTTAATACTGCGGCTCACTTCCGCTACACACGCACCCGCAACAGATGCAAGTTCTTCTGCTTACCGCCCTATTTTTCCTGCACTTTGTTACTTTATAAGAAGAGTAAGATACCTGTGTCTGTTTCAGAGGAAGCATCAGTTGTGGAGGAGGGTCTCTCCCCCTCTCAGACCCCCCTGGTGTCAGTCAGCTTCGAGAGGAGCGTCAACTGGAAACAGAAGTACCTAGAGGCTGAGCCCAAAGCTCTGGGGGTACTGTGTGTGTGTGTGTGTGTGTGTGTGTGTGTGTGTGTGTGTGTGTGTGTGTGTGTGTGTGTGTGTGTGTGTGTGTGTGTGTGTGTGTGTGTGTGTGTGTGTGTGTGTGTGTGTGTGTGTGTGTGTGTGTGTGTGTTTCAGAAGAACCAATACATTATTGTCAAAATACTTAATTACTAGTAAAAGTTCTGCATTCAAAATCTAACTTAAGTAAGCAAAGTGTGCTTACGGTTTAAAAAGTAAAAGTATTCATTATGCAGAAATTGTCTTTACGTGTCTATATCATTATATAACACAGTTCTGATTGACTTTTTTGAAAATATTTTTATAATTTCACTTAAAAAGTTAGTCTACTAGTTTAATGTTTAGAGATGCATTGTTAAAAGTACCTAAAGCTGTTAAATAAATGTAGTGGAGTAAAACTACAGTATTTACCTCTTAAATGTATTCGAGGTATTAAGTGGCATGAAATGGAAATACTCAAGTAAAGTACCTCAAAATTGTACTTAAGTACAGTTCCTAAGTAATTTTACTTAGTTACTTCCCACCTCTGCTCTACAGAGCCTGAGCTTGTCATCTTGAGATGTTCTCTCTGTTCTCCAGATCACTCAGATCGGCCTCAGTCTGTTTCAGATCATCAGCTCGGCGCTGTTCATGTCCAAAGGCCTGAGTGTTACTCCCACTGACATACCGGTCATCATCTTATCTCTACTGGTAAGCATATCCAGAACCTTTAATATTCATTCCTCATTAGCGGAACAAAAGATGGAGCAGTTATTATTTATTATTTATTATTTGATTTATCTTTGTCGTTGCTTGTTCATGACTGTAAACGTATTTGAAGTATTGAAATATTTTTGTCGCGTTAGTTGTTTTTTGTAAAGTCCATTGAATTCCACCATGTTGTTTTACATTTTCTATGTGTAGGGGGGCCTAAGGTGCCAATTATAACACTGCCGCAGAGTGATTAAAGGTTAGCGTGCTCACATGATTCCTGTTCTGTTCACAGGTGTTAATAGCTGGGAGTTTGACCGTAGCAGCACAGAACCTGCATCTCCCAACGGTGAGTTACCGGCTGGACACTAATGTCTCTCAAATCTCACAGGATCACCAATTATATATGAGTCACATAATAACTAGTACCAAACACAAATATCCAGGCGTACTTGCTTTAATATACAATGGAACATGTCAAAATGTCTTGTCATAGGAATTTAGGACTAGTTTGCACTTTTATACAATCCACAAAAACAGAACTGATCAGTCACTTCCTCTATAGGAGCAGTTAGATTTGTCAGCCATTTTGCTCCTTCAGCTGGTCGCACGCAGTGGAAGAAGGAACCATTTATTAAAGGATCAGTGCAGGGAAGCTAAACACCAGAGTGGCTGTGACTTAAAGGGGATGTATAATGAACATTTTCTGGTTCATACTTACAGTATATTTTGGGTTTCTAGTTACATTCTTTTTCTCACGTCTGGAACGCTCCGTTTTAGCGCCTGTCTCTTTAAGATAGGTCTGTATTCTACTGGCCTGCAAAGGGAGTTATTTTACAGTTTAAGGATATGTTCTTACCTAAACATGCATTGAAAGATGATTATTTTTTTAAGACTACGGATAAGAGTGACGTGGGTAATCCCAGTTGTGGCAATTGAAAACGTTAGTCCACCTAGTACATTGGACAGTGGATTGAACAGGATTTACTTTGCTGTTTTCCTTTCCTAATTGAAATATCAAGTAATTCTCTGTCATTTTATCACGTCTGTAAAAATCTTCTAAAACAAAGCAAACAGGTTTCATTTAAAACAAATGTTGTGTCTTGTATCTCGTGCTCTTCAGCTGAGGGCGTGTTTGGGGATGCAGATCGTGGCTGTCACCGCCTCCATCGCCAACATGATCATCGCTCTGGTTAAAATGAATGATATCCCCTACTTCTGCAGGCAATACTACTACTATGACCAGAACTCCACCTCACGAGAGTACTGCCATAACATAGAGGTGAGCTCTTATGAGATCCAGACTTTTAACTTAATACTTCATTTGAGTTGGATAATGACACTCCTGTAAGTGGAATGCTTGTTTTTATAACAACAAACATTTTCACATTCAAAGTTACTGAGTTTATTCTTTAATTGTTAGCGATCTTTTTCAATGATATTTCTGTTTCTGAAATATTTAGTTTGTTACGTTTTAAGTGATTTTGTTAGGTTCTGATTATACTATTATTAAAATGATGTATAGTTTTGATATGTTGCTGAAATAATAATAATAACAATAATAATAATAATACGCATTTCAAATGTCTGTGGAAGTCTAATCCTAGAAATGTACAATTTTTTTATGTTGTATTCTTTATTCTGTTAAAGCATAATTTTTGCACATTTCCTGAACCCATTACAGGGCACGATTTCACACTTCTCTTCCGAGTGTGTGGTCATTAACGTTGCCCTGGTGACCATCTCCATCACTGTGGCCGCCTACTGCTGCAAGGTGACCAACTGCTGCTCGCCAGCCCCCAAAATGGTGAGTCAAAAACTCCCTGAACCACTGGTTTCATCATGGAGGTCCTCTGTGTTTGAATACTGCCTGAATACATACCAAACTACCAGAGAAATTAAGATGGAGGGCCAGCATGATCATGTTCGGACCCTCATAGGAGAGGAATAAATGTGTTAGTTTTTGAGATACCTTTAGAGAGGTAGAACAAAGCACAATGGTGTTTTCATTCCTTCAACATGTCTTTGAAATACACGGTTCTAAAAATATATTTTACTGCAAAATTTGTTTTATTGGTCCATGTTTGTATAATGTTTGAAAAATGTAATCTTCTTTCAAAAGGATTGTGTCCACAAAAATGATCAGAATGTCACTAAATTAAGACTAGACATTCACAGGCATTGCACACATTCAAACAAAGCTTTATTCATTACCTTTGAAATATATACACTTAAACACACACAAGTTATAGGCCGAAATGGAGTAGGAAATTGAAAAACCAATAGATAAGTATATACTTTTTTGACATTATTAAAGTAAGGGGGCCAGTCACCAACATTTTTAATTTGTATACCAAAGACTTTTTCCTAAAAATAGGTTATTTTACTATTAAACTTCACCCTATGCTGTCTGCAGCCCCTAACAGTAACTAGTGCCCCCAAGCAACAAGGGGGTCTTGTGGGTGTAGATGTGGAGGGAGGGGCACAACCCATAGATCAACAGATATAATATAACTATCTGTTATGGGCGGGAGTGGTTCAGTCTGCCGGGACTTTGGACCGAAGGGTTGTCGGTTCACGTCCCCGATCGGACCATAAAATATGGAGTGTGGACTGGTACTGGGGAGGAGCCAGTTCACCTCCTGGGCCACTGCCGAAGTGCCCTTGAGCAAGGCACCTAACCCCCAACTGCTCACTGGCTGCCTCTGCTCTGACCTCTCAACTGCATGTGCATGTGTGCATATAACTGTGTGTGTATTTGTATATGTATGTGCATGTTCTAAAAAGTGTGTACTGTATGACCTGTATAAAAACGCATGTGTGTGTACGACAGAGTGGAAACTGAATTTCCCCCTCGGGGGATTAATAAAGCTTCTTCTTCTTCTTCTTCTTCAAGCATCCATTTAAAAAACCCGTACATTACTACAGTAGCTTTGAACGCAGCAGGTTTTAACATTTGTTCTTGTTTGTGTTTTCCCCCCCTCAGCCGGTGATCACTGTGCAGGCCCCCCCCGCCCAGCTGTGAGGGGCAAACAGATGTTCAGCTACATACAAATGCTACAGAAAATGTAAAAGTGCACTAATCAACATTTTTGTATAACCAATGTATCAAATAACTATGTGAAATGTGAAAGGGGTTTGTTTGAGCAGCTTATGAGACAGTTGTTATGTTTAAAGACTTGGTGAGACCAAACCAGAGCTAAAAGGAGAGCAGAACTCCAGCTGGACACAAACAACAACTGTTGATCTGTGTCTGATGGATGTGTTCTTCCATCATTGTCATGTCAACTACATAACCCGATCAAATGTAAAAGAAAATGTGTTCACAGCTTGGAAAAGAAATAATGAATGCATCTTGAAAAATGTACTTTTTAAAGTATTACATTACATTATCATCCTTCATTCTTACTTCTGCACATTTTTCATTTCATCTCTAATAAGACAATTAATCTCAGTCTATTTTGATCTTTAAAATGCTACAGTAGTAACAACAATCAGAATACCTGTATTCGTCCAATAAAGGGGAAATGTGCATTTGTTACAGCAAGAAAAGAGCCAAAGACAGCTTAATATTGCCATGCATTAAAAAAATATTAAAGATACAAATGTTAAGGGACAAATGCCTAAAATATATACAGACAGATATTGAAGAAGTGGAAGTAACTCTGGCTGATCTCTAGCAATAGGAGGGAATTACATACTGATGGGAAATGCTCAAATGTAGCATAAGTAGAGAAACGTCCTGAAGTCGTAAACAGGTCTTCTAAAGTGTGCTAACATTAGCCACTATACGTTACTGCTCATACCAAGTAAGACTGTGGCAACAAACCCCTGAGTGTATTAAATTGATGTGTATTACTGCTTATTAACTACACTTTTCTATAAGAGAAGGATTGTGTTGTTTCTTCTTTAAGGTACAGTCATGCTCTAACATGATATAGCCAAGGTGAATAATACAAGACAAATAATGGGTGCTTACTATATAAGTACAATCACTAATCAAAGCACATGAACGCTTTTCCTGAAAGTATTTTTATTCAGATTGTATGATTATAGCTACCTAGATAATGTTTGTCTTTTCTTACTGCAACTAACATGAATGAATAATACATACAAAAACATGTAAAGGAGGTTTGGCTGCTGCTCTTTCTTTGTGAAAGAGACATTGTGTATAGCGCGTAGTGTCAAAATGTGTTATTACCATTAACAGGTCCTCTCCTGTCCTTATTTGGACACAAAATGAAAAATCCCAAAGATTTCCCCAGCTCATTTGAGGATTGGAAATTGTTATAGAGCCCACAACAATGCATTTAGAGATACACATTGCCTACACATGTGACACTGATCAACAAAAACATGTATTCAAATTGAAATCTTTAGAAATGATCAGCACCCTTTAACATCTACTTGTCCTTGTATGTTTCTTTGTAAAGCAACCTTGAGGTTATGAAAGGCGCTATATAAATTCAAGTTATTATTATTATTATCTAACTAACATTACAACTTTATTAAAAGGGCCCTATTCTGCTCAACATCGGCTTCATGTAACATGTCTCCATGCTTTAGTGTGTGTGAGAGGAACTCCCTCTGAAGGGAACTCAAGGAGTTCAGCCTCTGTAGACCATTGAAATGCACAGAAAGCGATAGCACACACTACAGGAGAGGGAACACCCATACAACATAACAGGGCCTGTATATTTACTATAACTGCATAACCACAATCACTTTCAATCAACAGACCAGTATCTTTAGTTTCAACTTGTCCCGCTTTATTACTTACTAAATAATGTTTTAGGTCAAATCCTTTGTCACACAATGCATTAAAACTTAGATTTTTTCCACAAATACTGAATACATAAAAAATACATGGTACCTTGTGATTAAAATAAAAAAGATATATACAATTGGACATGGCAGGATCCTGGAGAGATTAGAATCTGTGCACATTGATACATGATTCTCTATGATCACAGTCCATTAAGAAGGAAGTGTTCAGACGTCGGGCTCCACTCCCTTATATTTGCAGTTCATCGGCCCAGTGACTCTGCGGGAGATCAGGACAAATTAGTAAAGCAAAATCTACATTCACTTGGAATATATCAATTCTTAAAATGGTTCTTTAGCTATGGTTCATAGTACAGAAGGTGACTGTGAACATAATTTCCTTTGGTTTAAAATCTAAAAACAGCCATTTTAATATACAATTTGTTTAAAGTATTATAGCTAAAGGTACAAACACAGGGTATATGCAGGAATCCTGAAGTCAAATGTAAGACCTTTTGAGACCCTTTCCATACATTTTAAGAACCTCATCTCCACTTGGAGTTTTAACCGGTTACATTGGCGACACACTTTACCTCACATTGACTATATACAGTATTGATTGTCCTTCCTCCTTATCTTCCAACCATTTGGACGCAGACTTGCATTTCCCCATAACGATGTTGTTTAACAACCGGCGTAAACGGACCTTCGCGCGCTATCAAGCAGTGAGCGTGCGATGTCCTGTTCAGATGACGTCCAACCCAACGGGATGCCATAAATAAACTACACAGAATCACACTACACACCTACGCAATGATTACATTCAGGCAGACTATAGAATACAACCTCTTTGGACAATTTATATACTTCTTGAAAACAAGCTACAAAATGTAAAACCTTGGAAAATGCCCTATAATACTTTTGAATAGCCTTCATTTTCACTAAATTGATTTATCAACTTGTAATACTTTTTAAGACCCCGCGGACACCCTGAAACAGAAGACATTCCAGTATCTGATACACTGAGCATTTAACGAGGAGTCACCATTCACCTGGGAAAGGGACGGGGTGAAGTCCTCCAGGTCTCCGAAGCAGCGGTGTTTGTGGCGGATGAGACTCCCCCAGAGCACAGAGCTCTGACAGGCCGGACATCTGCCCTCCACCGGCAGGAGGTGGGTGGGCTCCGACTTCAGGAAATGTTTAGCGAGGCAGATCACATGACCGCTCATCCCACAGGAGGGGTGGAAACAGCTCAGCTTTTCTGACACCTGAACAAAAACACAAAGAAGTCTTGGTTCATGTAACTGCTTACAAACAACGGATTGTACTGCAATAAAGTGTGACTTGCATTTCACAATTCAAAATTCCATAACATGATTCTAACTGTTAGTCAGTGATCCAGGTAAAGCCATGGAGAATGTAAACCAGGGCTATTCAATTAGTTTGGAACGGGGGCCGGTTGATGAAAATGATCCAAAGCAAGGGGCCGGGAAAAAAATTGCTTGAAATATGAGCAATCATATTAAGAGCTTCAGATACAGTAAATACTACAGCAGGTCACCCTTGAAAAAGAGTTCAATGATCTCAATGGGATTCACTGCCATAAATAAAGGTATGAAATGAAATGACTACAAAACGCATAGTGGAGTGCATATATTTTTGTTTAATTAATATCAAAAAACAATAGCCCCAAGGGGGGCGCGTGTGTTGATGAAATGGCAAGTTCGCAGAACCTCAGTAATACATTGTGAAGGCTGAATATAAACCCATCAACATCATTAGATTAGGATGGTGATGAGGTCGAATAGATTCAGCGAGCGGAGAGACGTGCGAAGTTTAGGCGCCAATACACAGCCAACTTTTTAGTGCTAATTAGGTATAATACAATAAAGACATAATGTTGAGCCATGACCACATCAATTGCTTAATTAAAAGCAAAAACAATTTACTTCTTACCAAGACTGTATTAATACCAAACCACAAAACTATCTATCTATATATATCTATTATCTTTTTATTAACATAGTGATAGACTGACATACAGTATCAACCAAACTTGGCAGATATATGCCATCTAAGAGAAAAATGGCATTTTTTCGATTTAGCAAGAGCAGGGATATTCGGGAGTATATATCTTTTCTTATGGCACAACGGCATACAGTGATGCACTATATCTGGTCAGTGAGGATAGCTCGATATTAGTTTTATGTCTTTTCATGTGTGAGAATGCCGATTCGCACGTGTAAGTCGAGCCAAACATTGTGAGGACAAAAAGTGCAAGACCCCTGAATGAAGGGAATTTCTCGTGGCTGACTTCGACTGACTCCAGAAACTTTTCAGAAACCTGCAGCGTGAAAATGACTGTCGCAGTCATCTCGATTGACTGGAACTGTCAATGAGTTCGAGTTGTAAAGACGGCCCTCATTTAATGTCACAATCAGCTCCTTTGCTGGTCAGTACAAACTCCCCCTCTACATTCAGCTAGAGAAAGGTCCTTCACCAATCTCATCACTCAGTCGCGAGACTGAAATGGTCAAACCTTGCGGCAAAGTTGGTTTTCAATGCGGTCCATAACCAGTCATCACTTGGTCGATTTGTAAACCT